GGGAATCAGCGGGAATCAATGAGAATCACGACGGAAACCAACGGAAGTCAATGGAAATCACAACGGGAATCAATGGGAATCAACGGAATCATGTGTACACTTGAATTCGGATTTATTGCTCCCTCGGTTTAGTCAGTTCAGAATTCATATCAGAATTCAAAGTTTTGCCGTTCCAAATAAATGACACATCAAGATCTCTGTTGTATATTGTTGTTCAGATAATGTACTTGGTCTGTAGTGATTTCAATAATAGTTTTGATCAGTGGCGGAAAGGAGAAAAGTAATAATTTCTAAGAGTGCAGTCTCACTTTGGCGGAAAATGACTGCGCTGAAAATTAACTGTTTAGGGCAAAATAAGGATGTTCATGCGGCGTGTGCAGAGCAGAGATAGGTACGCATGTGCAAAACGTGTGCAAAAATACCGCTTGATGAGTGGCTACGGAACACATAACACGTGCTAGAAGAGAGAGATGGGGGAGGGAGGGGTCATTTTTGCATGAGAATGAACCTGGCACGAGTACGCCCCCCCCCCCTTCGCACCGAGCACTCGCACAATAGTGGGTCATAGCGTCCATAGCCGGAGAACGCCGGGGCGGGGCGGGGCGGGGCGGGGCGGGGCACACCCGTCGGCCCCCTGCAGGGCACGAGGGCACGTCATGCGGTCAGGAGGCCCCCCGACTTGAACTTCAGAGCACGACAACTCGCAAAAAATGGGGGGGGGGGGAATCAGTCGAAAGTTTAAATGCATTGCTTGATTATAAAGCATGAAACCAAAAAAATAAAAATAAATGGGGCGACCCCATCGGCGACCGCTCTGTTTAATGTTCCTAAAATCTAGAGAGAATGACGAGGGCATTTTGTTTTGCATTTCGCACCTGCATCTGCACCGCTTCACTTTGCCTCACGATAGACGGTTTTGTGATTATATCTCACAAGATTGATTGTGTTTCGCAGGACTCTTGGACACCATCACCAACACGGCCGAGAGCAAGGACTGCCCCGGGGTGTGCGTGCACACCCTGGCCACGCTCATCTGCTACCAGGTCCTGGAGGACGTGGCCTGCCCCTCGCCGTCGATGAGGTGCTGCGTGGACCAGGCGCCCGCCAACCAGACGGCTGAGGATGCTGCCCCGACTGCGAGCAGACCGACTGGTGCGTATTGAAATGTACCCGATGAGCGGAATAAGGAACGACCCGATACATTCGCGTCTAGATATGTAACTGTGAACTGCTTGCCGGCCCAGCAGCCCCTTCCAAGACTAAGAGGCCGCCGCCGCCGCCCCTGAGCACCACCACGACGACCACCACCACCACCACGCCGCCCAGCACGACGGCGGCCGCCAAGACCACCAAGAAGCCCGAGCAGAGCACCAAGGCGCCCGA